TATATAAATATTTTTATACTAATGTATTGACAGTCGAATAATGTGAATAGCACTACGAAAGGCAAAATTTTGTTTGATATTTTTCGCTTTGACTTTGCTTCAGCTGCGTGTTTTTTATTCTGTTGGTTCGGGAAGTTGTTTTTAAGTTCTTTCCATTTCAGCAGATGACTATTTGAATATAGATATTGCCCGATTTATGGTAAGTATAACTCTATATAACATTTTTTTTTTAATAGAACCCATATTAAAATCCATTTGCGTTAAAGTTCTTGGGGCAATGTAAAACCGTTTATTTCGCAATCAAATGATATTTTTGAAATTCATATATGAATATATTTCTTTATATTTGATTTAAATTATGTGCTTTGCTCTATTTCCAGGCCTATTGAGAAAATACATAAAAACCAAAGCAAAATCCGTTTATATTCTATTCAATGCATTTTAATATTTTTAACCTAACATTCATTTTTAACTAAAATATCTTGTTTTTGATATCCTGAAAATCACAAATTGATCGTTTTTACTATCTGTATGTTTACAGCCTTATATCCACGTGATCCACTTACCAGTCAAATAGATATATATATATATCTATATATTTACCTATAATCCTTCATAATCATATAAACTACATACATAAGTATATGGAAACGATTATTAATTTAAATATTGCCTAAATATTGCATTTATCAATTTATCGATTTCTCAATAAATTACTATATCTGATACAAAAATAGAAACGGTTTTTTGTTTAAAGGTTAGAATAATACATAAAACATAAAATCCTTATCAAAAAGAAAGTAAATGTAGACATACGATTTATAGATGGATCCAACTATTAGCCTAATATTCTAGACTTACTCTGATTTTTTTCTTTGCCCATTCAAAAGAAAACAACGTATTTTCCTTTTTATTTTCGCGCGATATATATTATTGATATACATACTTCATCCATTTTTATTTCCTTCGAGAAACATTTAAAGATAAAACAAAATATCAGTTTATATCTAGGCATCCAAGTGCGATGCATGTGATTTAGGGATAAGTTTAAATTCTGTTTTATTTTAAGGAGAGCGAACGAACATTCAATAATGTTTATTTTCAACTGTACGATCCTCGGATAAACTCATCCATCTTACTCTATATACTTCAAATCCGTATATATATATATATACTTATTTTTGTGGCTTTTTTATTATTATTATTATTTTTTTTTTACTACAAGAAACGTACATTGAGATGCTTGTGTGGAGAAGTGCTTTCAAAACATTGTGTTTTGAAACTTTTAATTGTTCGTTATTTGTTTTGTTTCAAATGTACATACAACTATTTCGCAAGACTATTCTTAGTATTTCGTTAAACATACATATCTGTATATATATATTTCTTATTTTGGATGTGTGTGGTGTGTCTGATCCGCTCTACAAGAGAAACCTGCATTAGTTCTGTCTCTAATCTATTATCAAAGCCCAATTCAAGTGAAAACTAAATTATAAATAGGCGTATAATAATTATAACAATCAGTTGACAGTTTGTTCAATAACTCGACAATTCCAAGCTCCCTCGTTCCGAGATGAAATCAAAAGCAAAAGATGTATATAAAAACCTGCAACCGTTCGTATTTTACAATTACTTTAAAATTCCTCAATTTAGCGCCTGTTTTTTATTCTGGAACAACTTCCTATATATAGGTATTATTCCAGTAACCTCGCTTTATTTTTTGTTTTACCCCCAAGTCCAAATACTTTTTATCATTTCATAACATAGACCAAAATCGTATCAATATTATCAATTTGGAATTTTGACCTTTCGTTTTTTCCATGCTTCTTTTTTGTTTTTTGTACTGCTGCCAGTGTGTGAATTTTGAATATTCTTTTTGTTTTTTATTTATCCTCTTTGCTTAGTTTAAAATACATAATTTTGAACGTCAAATCAATCAGCACTACATTTAAATGTATAAATTGTGTTCTGCTTTTGTTTGTAACTTTTTTTTTACAATGTTCTTTTGCTATCTTTCAGTTTGCTTAAATTACACACTTTTTGTAGAGCCGTTTGAGAGCGCAGGTATTCATAAAGAAAATGAATATTAAAGTGTTTAAAAATTACGTTTACATATATACATTATTCACATGCATATATGGGAAAAGGACATAATCCGTTTAAGGTTGAGTTTTGTTTTTTGTTTAGTTAGTTTTAAAGAGTACAAATTATACGCTTATAGGAAAACTAGATGTATTTCTTTGTTGCCGCAGCAGCTCTCAAAAAGTGGCAAAATCTGGTTGCTTTTGCGGTCGCTTGTTGTGTTGGTGTTGTTGTTGTTAATGTTATTTGATACAAGTTTTACTGCTTGCTGGCCCTTTCCAAGGCTTTTTCTCTTGTGTGTAGTTTTATGTCGCAATTAACTGAAAGGGAACAGTAGGTTTAAATAAAATCCCATAATGATGCCCAGCAACTGCATCGCTTACCGCTTTAACTGTGGCTTTTATGAAATCCTTCTTATCTGTTAAATCGAAATCTGGGTACTTAGCATAGACTTGTTTGCACACTGTTTTCATGGTAATCTCTTCGAGATTGGCCTTATCTAATATTTCTTTGACATAGCCGCGTATTTGTTCGTCCTGTAATAGAAAATAAAATTTGTTAAAATAGCTGTTTTAAATTTAAGCTTGTGAGCTTGATTTACCGTTGGGAATGCCACTTTGCCCTTTTTGGTTAATGGCTCATCTTCATCGGATTCATCTTTGTCATCGACATCTTCCTCCTCGGACGTTTCCTTCTTTGATTTCTTCGGTCGGCCAGCGGCTATTTATAAAAATGTGCTTTCAGTAAGAAAATCAGTTAAAATTCAATTATGCTTTACATTTTCCAGCTGGCTTTGACTTGTTGTTGGCTTTGCTATTTTTCGCAGGCGTTGTAGGCTTCTTACTCTTTTTGGGACGTTCCTCCTGCAAGATAAAAAATAAATTTGATATATACCATTTTCTTACACTTCGTTTTAGTTTTCTCTGAACAAACCTCGCTTTGGTCGCTGCCAAAGTCTGACAATTCTTCCTCTTCTTCATCTTCTGATACTTCTTCCTCGTCACTTTCCGAGTCCTTGCGCTTTCGCGCCGAAGCGCCTCGTCCACGTCCTCGTCTGCCGGCCGGAGCGGCCGCAGCAGATCGTCCACGCTTGCCAGAAGTTCCTCGCTTGCGCTTAGGCACCTAATGGACAAGATTTAATGTTATTTTAAAACTATTCCACCTAAGTAAAGGCATTTGCATACATCACTATCTGCATCTGATAGCTCAGATTCTTCTTCGTCCTCGGAATCTGAATTTCTTCGACGACTCTTGCGTGCTGGGCGCCCTCGACTGCCACGAGCTCCGAGTTTGCGACCGGCTCCAGATGCACCACCGCCGCCACCGCCACGCCCCGCGTCCGAGTCTGAATTTCCCGAAGGATTGTACTGCGATAAGAAATGAAACTTGTTGGCTTGGCCTAATTAACAATTATTAAGGCGACTTACATCTGAGCCAGATTCAGAATCATCATTTCGTCTCCGCTTAGCCACTGTCACTTTGTGCTCGCTCTCCTCAGAGCTTGATAAGTCTACATATGCGGACATTTCTGCAAGTACAGTGAAGTATGTCAATAAAGGACTCAATAGCATTGCGTACTTGAGCAATATTTACTTTTGCCCGCCGTTGAACGCTTTGGACGTCCAGTGGAATTGCGAGCTGAGCCTCTGCCGGCGCCGGCGCTCGTTTTGCTGCTCTTGCGTTTCTTATCGTCTTCGCTGGCAGCATCATCATCTTCGTCGATATCTTCATCGTCCATCTCCTCCTCTTCCTCCTCACCCTGTTCAATGCAGAGCGACTCATCCGGCTCCATTAGAAATTTGAGCACTCGCGAAGCGATCTCATCCTTGCTTCCCTTGCGATCTAATGTGAGAATCTCGCAGATACTACGCAAAGATTTGTTATCCACCTTCTTGATGGATTCATATTTCTTTTTGTATTCCGACGAATCCTTGGCAAACTCAAATCCAGCAAAAGAACGCAGATTCTTTTTCACCACATTATTTTTTCCTTGTGCGCCAAAGCAGAGCTGCATATTCAGATAGTAAAATAGTTCTTAAATACAGTTAACGCTCGATTTCAACGCCAACTTACCGAATGTAGCACCTGGAGACCATCCACTCGTGTCTTATTAATATTCTCATTAATGCGATCAATCTCGGCCAGAGCCACAACATTTTCGTCATCCTCGGCCACCTCGTTATTCTCATCGAGGCCATCGCCCTCGCCCTCCTCGTCATCTTCCCCATCTTGTTTGTCCGAATTCTCCACCTTGCCGTTCTTGGCCTTGGCTTCAGATTTTTTGGCGACCGCCGACTTGTCCGCTCCAGCTGAGCCTGCCTTGGCCTTAGCACCGTCTGTCGCATCATTTTTCTTCTTCTCCGATGTGGCTGTTGGTTTATTTTCCTCATCACTGACGTCGTCTTTCTCATCCTCGCTTCCCTCCTCATCCTCCTCCTCGTAGTCGTCAGTCTTGGCAGTCTTCTTAGCCCCATTATTTACTTTCTTTGATGCTGGCGACGCTGGCGACTCCGCCTTTGTGTCTTTATCGTCTGGTGATAAATATTAATTTTTTAATATAAATGTTATGTTACTTAAGGGAAATCATAAAAACCCGGTTTAATCGAGCTATGGGATTATGTTTAAATAATCTTATATCTATAAAAATAAAAAATCTTTAGATAGCTCTAATTATGGATTTATTCTAAATTATAAAAACCTACTTAAATTGACTAATATAACTACCATACTAATATTCCTTTTTTTATTTTATTAAATTTATTAAATCTATTTTAATTTATATTAAACCAAAAAATTATTAAAATAGTTGTAACTTGTATTCATACTTGGGAAGTTCAATGCTAAGTTTGTTTTGGGAGCGCAGAGAACTATGAAACATGAATATTTAATTTACCTTAGCTTCTACTATACAAAAACCATATTGTTCAGGGTTCAGTATGAACAAATAGCCAAGGATATTTTATTTTATTTAATTATAATTTTTTTTTTTTTTATAAGTACACACGTGCAGAGTTAGAAAGAAAATAACTCATTTTCGCACACATCATTCTTATTAGAATTGTTCGAGTTCGAGTTCGAACCCACATCCCACCAGCATATGAAAATTTCTCACATTACATACGCTCGTTCGCGGCATTTTAGACAGCAGCGCCACGGCCAACGCAGCAACTAGCGCGCCAAGCGACGTACATAAATGTGTTGAGCTTAATATGCGATGTGCGATGTTGTTCGCCGCATTTCTCGAACGCGCGCAAATTCATTTTATGATTTTTGTTTTTCTCGCTCTTTCTTCACGCAAACATACATGCACACACACATGCTCAGAGCAAATACATATGTATGTGTGCAAACGTGTGTTTCTTTTATTTACCTGCATCTACTGTTGGCGCGGTCGCAGCCAATGCGTCTCCAACAGCTTTTTTATCAGCGACGTCATCAGTAGCGGGTGACGCTGCGGCATCGATCTCTTTCTCAACATTTTTAGCTGCCTCAGTTTCGGGTGGAGTAGGCTCCTCTGCATTTTCTACCGCCTTTGACTCGATTACCTTATCAGCGGCATTTTCTTTGGTCGCCGTCTCCGGTTCTGGCGTGTTGGCATCCTAATGTAAATAAAAACAAAAGCAAAACACAATTTTATTACACTTGCAAATTTTTGGCGCCGCTCACACATAGGCACTACCACTACCATCAGATTGTGCGTTGCTCTGCCACTGGTTTATGCGTTTCAGTTAATTTCTATTTTTTTTTTTTTCGAATGTTTTGTGCACACACAAGTTTTCTTTTGAGCTTTGCGTTTGTGTATGCGTGTCTATGGGGGCATTCGGCATGCACATGTTGTCCTGCTCGCACGCACCAAAACCTAGATACAAGCAACATACAAACGCAACGACGCCATGTTTATACACATAAACGAATGGTCGAAGGGGAGAAGACCGATTTGTCGAGAGCAATATTTGTTGCGCTTTAGTTTCGTGGTAAACATATTTGCACTGATTGGTTTTTTATGCGCGTTGATAATAAACAACTTTAACTTGATTTTAATACTATTTCCAGTATTTTACGTACCATATTTTCAATGGTTTTATCTTTTTTTTCGTCAGCCGACATGCTTTTGCTTATGTGTGTGGCGTTAGGGATGAGTAAATATATCAATGTTGTTGCACTCGTGGAATCGATAATTGGCGGCAATATAAATTTAATCTCTTACTAGCGTATACTATATTTTTAACACTTATAACCAAGTGATTAAAAAATGATTGTATTCTATTTTCAAATGTACTTTACTCAATTTGCTTATAATATAACTTATTGAACTTTGTCCCATAAACATTTATCTATCGATATACTTACAATATACAGTTGCAGTTAATTGACACTCACAAGGAGACGCGTGCACAACATTTGCAACGAAAAGCGCGCGTAGTGCACTCATCTGGCGAAATCATATTTATAAACAAATTTAAAACGCTGATCAACGCACAATAAACAATTGTCATGGGAATTTTAGGCCTTTCAAAGCTTATTGCAGATTTGGCGCCTCTTGCAATACGTGAAAGTGAAATAAAAAACTTTTTTGGTAAGTGTGGCTCGCCGGCTTCTGGTATTGAAAGTAAATTGAATAATCTTTTGCAGGTCGTAAAGTTGCCATTGATGCTAGCATGTGTTTGTACCAATTTTTAATTGCGGTTCGATCCGAGGGCGCCCAGCTGGCTACTGTTAACGGCGATCCAACGTCACATCTGATGGGCATGTTCTATCGAACCATTCGGCTGCTCGACAATGGCATTAAGCCGGTCTACGTCTTCGATGGAAAGCCGCCAGATTTGAAGGCTGGTGAGCTTGCTAAGCGCGCCGAGCGACGCGAGGAGGCTGAAAAAGCACTCAAAGTGGCCACCGACGCGGGCGACGAGGCGGAGATAGAGAAATTCAATCGTCGCTTAGTGCGTGTCACCAAGGAGCACTCGAACGAAGCCAAAGAGCTGCTTAAGCTCATGGGTGTTCCATACGTGGATGCGCCCTGCGAGGCTGAGGCCCAGTGCGCTGCTCTGGTCAAGGCAGGCAAAGTGTATGCCACGGCAACGGAAGATATGGACGCACTAACCTTTGGATCTTGCAAGCTGCTCCGCTACCTGACGTACAGCGAAGCGCGTAAGATGCCCGTCAAAGAGTTCAGCTACGACAAGGTGCTGCAAGGCCTGGAGCTAACGAGCAAGGAGTTCATCGATCTGTGCATTCTCATGGGCTGTGATTACTGCGACAGCATCAAGGGCATCGGACCCAAGCGCGCCATAGAGCTCATCAAAACCTATCGAGACATTGAGACCATATTGGAGAACATTGACACCAGCAAATATATAGTGCCAGAGAACTGGAACTATCAAAGGGCACGCGAGCTGTTTGTGGAGCCAGAAGTAACAGACGCGAGCACCATTGATCTGAAATGGACGGCTCCCGACGAGGATGGCCTGGTGCAATTCCTCTGCGGGGATCGTCAGTTCAACGAAGAGCGCGTGCGCAATGGTGCCAGAAAGTTGCTCAAGTCCAAGCAGTCACAGACGCAGGTCCGACTCGATAGCTTCTTCAAGGCACTGCCCAGTTCGCCCAACGCCACTGCTGCGGCCAAACGGAAGGCCGAGGAGATCAAGAAGAGTGCGAACAATAAGAAGGCGAAGACAAGCGGCGGCAGCGGTGCTGCACGCGGCAGGAGACCAAAGTAATCTAAGATAACAAACAGTTCCCAACGAAAAAAATACAAATTTCTTTAATTTAACCACAAAATCATATTGCTAACACTTTAAGCTTAGAAACTAATCGTCGTACAATTACAAAAACTCTTGCAGCTTAAACTCTAATTGGTCTTCGAAGTGGGCTTGGTCGTGGATGTGGATGTGGGTGTGCTGTGGGTGTAGTTTCTAGCGAGGATCGGGCGGCATCCTCGCCCGCAACTACAGCAAATACTGCTTGGCCAGGGCGCGCAAGAAGCGCGATTTGCGAACCATGGCGCTCTCTCGTTTGATCTCCTCATTGTTGTTGGCATTCAGCTCCAAGGTGCCCATCATTGAGATCTACAGAGCGAGAGGAGAAATTTAATCAGTAAAAAATTAATTGAATTATTTGAGGCATTCTGACTTACAGCCTCCAGCTTGCGACTGTGCTCGCCTCGCTTGGCATGGAGATTGACAATAAACTCGAGCAGCGTCGTGTCCCATATGCAGCTGTAGTAGGCATCCATGGCATCTGTGAAATTGGAGCACTTCTCGGTGAGATTCTTGAAGACGATACCATAGTCGATCTCATCGAGAAACTGACAGAGCACGGTGGCCTGCATGTGGCAGCCCAGGTTGGCCGCACACCTAATCATCTTCCTAATGACATAGTCATCGGCCACATTCCGCTGCAGCGGCATGGTGCAGTAGTCGGTGCCGGTGACCAGGGCGTTGACATAGCACCGCATCGCGGACTCATTGTTGCCAATGGCCAGCTCCAGATCACCCTTCATCTTCAGCCACGAGACCGTCTGCGGATAATAGCTGAGCGCCTCCGAGAGCAGCCACTGCAGCGTCTCAGAAACACTGCGCAGGCTGTAACCATTCGGGCTAGAAAGATTAATCAGAGGTGAGTTATTTATATGTTTGGGGATTTATGTGGACTAACTTGTTAATGCTGGTGGGCCAGAGCTGCATGTACTCGCAGCTCAGATCGTGATTGGGATCGTCCTTCAGTATGTTGTGCATTTTGCCGAGCATGGATATGGCCAGTCCGAAGACACTCTGATGCCGCACACGCTGCAGGAATGCTTGGAGCGCGCTGCTGGCGCCGATGCCGGCGCCGGCGGCAGCCGCCCGCTTGGGCACATTGAGGAACATGCTCAGCATCAGTTCCCAGGCGTCGCGGCACACTTTCTTGGGGCCCTTCATCTTTTCCATTTCAATGAAGGTGGCCGCAAAGGCCAGCGGCAACTCCAGCTGCTGTGCCCGCTTGTCGAGGTAAAGAAGTGGCGGAAAATCGGTTAGATTAAGTAGCATGATGGCGCAGCTCTCCAGGATTTCCAGTCTTGGCATTATGGAGTCGCCCGCCTGCAATGCGCCCAGACACTGCTTGCAGCGCGTGCCCAGCGCTTGCAAGTCGAGTGGCTTCTGATGCCATTCGTCCAGGCACTGCGTAATTTGTATGTGCAGGATCTCCCACGTTATCAGCTTGCACATCATCTGCGCGCTGCTGCCCAGCTCCTGGCGCTGTGTCTCGGACTTGAGCACACTCAGCATGGATACGGCGTCAATGTAGCTGCCACGTGTCGCCAGCTCACGCGCTTTGCCCAGCAGCACATAGCTGAAGTCTTGCAGGAAGCTAACGGGCATCGCCATGATCAATGCCTTCAGCGGCTGCGGCACATCCCAGCTGGGATTGATGGCCCACAGTGGCTTGCCGGGCGCCGTGCCGCACAGTTTCACCAGCAGTATGCGCACGCTATTCGCATTGGTGCAGCTAATCAGCTGGCGCTCCAGAGCGGCAACATCGACGCGGGTCACTGAGAGCAAGAAAATGAGTTGGGATTAAAAAGTGATCGGCTTTACAGTTATAGCTTTAGACTCACTCTTGGAGTGGCAAATCCAATCGTTAAGCGTGGCCAAGGAATTGCTCAGCACTGGCAGCGATGCCTGCACCAGCTGCTCTTCCAAGTCGACCAGCTCCTCACTGGAGAAGATAGCCATGCCGCGCAGCGTGTGCAGCAGCTGTCGACTCTGCTCCATCTGCTGTTTCTGCTGCTGGTGCAGCACACAGTCGATGAGAAAATGCTTCAGAGCCGATTGCTCCACATCGCTGCAGTATGTCAGCGCGTCTTGCATTGCCTCCATGATGGGCGGCATGTAGTCCAGATCGTGATACTTCTCAAAGTACTCGACGCTGCCAAATATGTTGCCCCACTCGAAGACGGTGCGCACCACATTGAGAGCGGCCACATGCAGCAGCAGCTGCGGTGGCATCTCCTTGAGCAGCCCCGTTGAGATGGCTCCCTCAATGTCCAGCTCGACGTTACGCCGGCTCACCAGCGGAATTTCACGTGCGCGATTGTCTTGGCGCAGTATGGGGATAATGTCCGCATAGCTGTTGAGCAGGGATTGATGGAAGCGCTCCAATAGCGTCTGCTGCTGCGCACTAATTCCGCAGGCCTGCAGCAGTCCCTCCAGCTCCTCGGCGCGAACGTGACAAAAGTAACGCGTCGCACCGGCGGGAATCGCCTGCAGACTCGCGTTGCAAGCAGCCGCCGCCTCGCGGGCCAGCACGTACTGCTTGGTGTGGAGGTAGTAATGGGCCAGCTCATACTGCAGCTGGGCGCGCAGCTCTTGGGGCGTAATCAGGTGCATCAGGTCATAGTTCTGAGCCGTGCTCAGCGCGTCGCACTGCAGCGCCACAAAGCTGTCGTAGTGAAACACATAGAAAGGCTTGCTGGCTGCCGCCGGCGAGCACAGCTGCTCGAGATATTCGATGGAAGGCTGGGTGGGTGTGTCCAAAAACTGCTGCAGCTGATCGACGGTCTGAAACCTACTCAAGAGAAGCTCACTCAATACAAAGGTACTCATAATATGTATATTTAGGACTTACATGGGTGGCCGTGGACTCTTCAGTGCGCTGTCTTTGATGAGCTGCAGCCGCAGTACCATCCTGTGGTAGATGGTGAGAGCAAAGCGCGCCGCACGCTCATTGCCCGTGGGCGCTGCAATAGAGATTGCTATGAAACAAGTCTTATATTCATAATCTCGAGGGAGCATACAAATCTTTAGATCGAAATCACTGAGAAAAGGAATGCTGACGATGCGACCGTAGCTAATGGTGCACAGATCACGCAGTAGACCCAGCTGCATGATCACGGGCAAACCCTTCTCCAGGGCATCCAAATCCCATCTGAGCCAGGTGGCCACCTTTAGCTCCAGGATCTTGAGGGCCAACTGTTTGCGTGTCAACTGCAACTGATGCTGCTGTTGCTGCTGCTGTGTTAGGAGCGGCACATTGAGTGCCGCGGAGGCCGCTGGGGTGGTGGCATTGGCGCCGACGCTCGCGCCACTTATATTCTGCAAATCGCTTCCTGGCGTTACCACGGTGGACGCAATTGCCGTGTCCGGTGTCATGCTGATGAACTGCATGATGAGTTCCACAGCGCTGGGTTCT